TTTTAGCCAAGATCATCATTTGATCACTTAAATATAATTTTTATTCTGTTAAGAAATATTTTTTATATTATGTTAAATAAGTTATACTTGAGTTTTAACTTGTTCATAGTTTCTATAAAATAAGAAATAGTTTTTACTCCAAAATTATTTCATTTGTTGAAAAGTTCTTTTATTAAAAGGTTCATCACAGAAAAAAGTTGTAGGATGTTGGAGTTTATGATGCAAAAAATAGAAAAGATTTCAAAAGGTTATAAAATAAATTTAAAGGATACTATGTAAGGGCTTGAAGCAATTTCAATTATCTGTTAGAAGGATTTTTGTAAAATATTCAATATGATTATTTATAAGTGACATTTTAAATGTTAAATTTAAAATAATTCCACCATCAATTAAAATAGACTATCTACCAGAATAATACACGATCGAAAGTCTATTGTGATCTTAAATTTATATTATTAGACTTGTGAGACAGACAAAACTTTTGCTGCTTGATTTGTTTCTTGCTTGCACGAACGAAGTCGTCGAACCTGCCATGACCTCAAGTGCCGACTAGCCCATGTCTTTTCTGCTATCTTTGTCTTATAATATTACTTTGTTTCTTTCATTCTATTTTAGTTCACTTATTTTTTACTATTTTCTAATTCCTTTCTCACAGTCCTCTTCACAAATGGTTGACAAGAATTCATTTCTCTACTTGTATTTATGCTTAGCAGAATGATAAACTGGACATTAATTCAATTTTGATGTAAGGACAAAAAGCTGCAGCTATGTATGTACTAAAGTTTATCGTATTATCAAAGAGCAAATACTATCATGAAAACTAGGTCAACTAATTACTCTGTGAATATAAGGAACTTGAACATACCTCATAATAACTCTCCTTTGCCAAAACATTTTCTCATAATTCACACGAATTGCTATCTACACATTTAAAATCATCAAAATGATCTTAATAAATTTTTTTTTCTCATTCTTATAATGCTTCTGGATCATCTGATACTTTAATGTAATTGAGGTACACCTTATGACATGGCCTGGATCTCATTAATTTGATGACACGTTTTATTAATCATTTCATATTTGTCTTTATGATTCATTATAACACATCTTGACATTGTTGGTTTTTTTATTAAATAAATAATTAAACCATAAATAATTATTATTATTGATCTGATAATCAACTTGACCATATTCAAGAGATATTTTTAGAATTTAAAATCTGAGTAATCAGTTTATAATCATTTTTCAGTGATCATGTGGGTGCAAGTGTGTTTGTTTGTTGGATAGAATGGATGATAAATTCTAAAATAGCCGTCATAGAGTCAATACTGACCCTTCTTCACAAATATCATCCAGAAGCTTAGAATAATTCTGTAATTTTTCAAAAAACTTCTATTGATAAATGTTGGAATCACAAATCAGTCCATGTGTATCAGAAAATGCAAGGTATGATCAGATATAAGTGACTGTAGTTCCTTAATTTTAGTCCAACAATCATGAAAAAGGTTAATCTTTTTGTAAAACTAATTACATGCTCCATTTATTATTAATTAGAAGCATCACACTTACCTTTCACAATCAGATACATTGATAAAAATTTCATTGAAGAGAGAATGATCAATGTTATCACCAGGATACGTACATAAAAAAGTGAATCCAGATGTTGATAGATAAAAAACGACAAAATACTTGAAATCCCTTTGATATTGATTGATTGATTGTTGAAATGTTTATTTTAACGTAGGTCGTTGCTTCTTATCAGTCCAATCCTCGTAGGATTGATATTTAATCATACAATATTCATGAGATTGAACATAAAAAATATTTGAATGCATTTATGAAAAATTTTCTATACAAACTAGGGTGGGTGTATTTATTTCAATTTGCACACTAAAGTCATTATTATAAGACAAAAATAAAAAATTAATTGTTCTATGTGAAATGAAAAGTCTATGTGATAAATCGTTTTATAAACAATCGAATATTGAAGGCAATCAAACAGAACGTCATATAGGAATTATTGAACTTGGTCATAGCACGATGAGGATTGAAGTGACATAAGATTATTTCCAAGTCCTCTCGAGTTCAACTTGCAACTTGATGTCGGTCATCTTCTCGAGGTTAACGTCGTTAACCTCTTGCAGAGCAACAGTACAACGAAGGAGAGATCGAAATCAGAAACTAGGTACTGTTTATGACATTCAACCTCAAGCCCTCAAGCAACATTTTGTAAAAATGGAGATACAAAAAACTGAAGTGCTTCATTTTTTTTTTACTATATTTCACTTAAATAGCAAAAAATTTTAATTAATTAATAATTATTTATGTTACTTTACTGCTTTAATAACTTAATAATTATTAATGTTGCTTACTTCAAAAGAATAAATGTCTCCAAATCGTTAAAAATAATATTAAAGTCACGAAACAATGTATCTGACACGATAAAAGTGTTTTTTGTTTTTTAAATTGCAAGACAAAACATTTTGTTACTTGATCCTGTAATCATGGTAAAGTTTGTTTGACATATCAGAGTCTCGAAAGCTGAAAAGTCATTTATTGTCACACTTTTTAAAATATTCTTCTACTGATTCTTTCAGTGACATTAGCACCACAATGATATTCATAAAATAATTCCCAACCGATAACTGTTGCTAATAAAAAACAATTACGTAAAGAAAAATTATTTACAACTCATTTAAGGGTTGATAAATAAACTTTTTTTTATTGAAGATTCAAACCCATCTCTCTTAGAATAAAACAGTGAAAATTATTAATAACGACTTCAAAATCAGTGAATATTCTCTGATTTTTTAGTTGCTAAAAATTTCAAATTAAATTTTAGGAGTATTAGCTCATGAAGTCTCATACACAGGTCTGTTTTTTCAATTTATGTTCATATTGTTGTTACATTCTCGAAAAAAATAAACCTGACAATCACTCTAAGACCTTTTATCAAGTACTTCCTGATAGCTTTGCAGACTACTAGTTGATACATGACAATAGACAGGAAAAAAAAAGATAAGAAAAAGTAGAGTAAGCTACATTGTGTAGTTATGACCATTCTATGGACATTTTTAGCTCTATGAGCAAAGAGTGTTTAGGTTGTTTGAGGATCCTTACGATTTTCTGCTTGTTTAGATGACCAAGATGACGGAAATGGTCCAACATTTCATCAACAAATGTCAAGGAGAAGTCTTACAGTCTAGTGGAGATATGTTCTAACTTAACAGAGTCTAGCATCAAGGAGGTTTTCGAGGGGTTCAGAGGCATGTCTTAGCTTGGGCATCTTATTCTTTTGAATAAATCAATGATCAGCAAATATATCTACTAATTATCAGTGCCCATCTAATCATTGAGCGAAATAATAAACCAGTTTGAAAGAAAAATCGTGTGAAACTTCTTCATTTTAACTTCAAGATCAAACATCAAATCTTCTTACTGACAAGCCAGTAACTTTTGATAAAAAAATAATTCTATAGAGCTGAAATATCTTCAATAAATAACAGTACCATATTTATTGATGATAACTTCTTTTGTATTTCAACTATAAATTCTTAAGTACAAAAAGTTGATAAGGAATAATAAAAAAATTGAACATTTTTTCATATAATACAGCTCAAACAATATTGAATGAGTTTTATATATTTTCAGAAAATTTTGTTACGTGTACATCCACCTTTGGATACAATATATAACATTCATAATAATATAATATCAATTTATTTGTTGATATATGGCTATGAGAATAACAATAATAGGATTTATAATATTATTTTCATTATAATTAATATAAGAGTAATAATACATTCATAGGTACACAAGATAATATTAAAGAGGTATCTTCTTTACATTTGTTAATTGATATTCGTTTCTGTATTTTTAAATATACCAATAGTTTCAAGAATCAATTTAATATTTATTTCTGATATCAATACTTTGTTGAAGCATAAAATTTTCCATTCACATTAATTACCAATTATTTATATTATATAAATTGAAATTTGTAAATAACATCCTGAATAACATTTTCTTCAGCAGGAATAAATTTATTTCTGTCTTTGCAATTACAAAAGTTGAAATTTTAAAATACATTTATATTTATATTTTAATTAATAGTTGTTATAATTTTATTATGTCACTTTTATTTAATTTTGAAAAGATATTTAATGCAAGACTGATATCCTAGACTGGTTTAGTCCTGATCAGATTGCTACTCAGGATGCTTCAGTTAATATTATTTTTATGATTCATTTCCTTTCAAAAGTGTCTTATTTTTCTATTAATTTAAAAATGAATTTCAGATCAGAAATTTTAAGCTTTTAATTCCAAAATTCTTGCTTAAATTTAGTGATCATGATCAAAGCAACAATCGTTCCCTTGTCACTCGAATCATTTAGTTCCAAAATTAATACAATATTTCATGTTTAATTCAAATATGTATTCAATGTTACTTACTGATAAAACGTTAACATAAATTCTCTTTGTACATTTAGTCAACATTGAAATATAACTATTTGGTTGATGGAAGTGGCTTGATAGTTCTTCAATCAAAGAATAATTTTCAATAATCATTTAATTATCCAAAAATTTTTTTTTCATTTTTAAGTATTTTTGCAAATTATTTATCAGAAACATTCTTAGATAAATGTCATAGCTAATTATAATTAATACATAATAATTTCATGGTGATCCAAATATTGTCAATTTTAACACAGCTTCATATATTAGATTTACTCAATAAATAATTACACAGAGAAAAGACAATAATTATCGAGTAACAAGTAAAGTTATATATTTTAATATAAAACACTGATGAATAAAAAGAATTATTTAAATAAATTAATTTTATAATAACTAATATAAACTTCAAGTATAAATTAGTTGTTTTTTCTTTCTTCTTAATTAATAAATAAAAAATTATTTAAATATAACAAATAATATGGCAATAAATAAAAGCTATTAAAAGTTAAATATATTCATAGTCTTCGTTGTGATGTAAAAAAAAATATCATTGCGTTTATTGAGTTGATTAAAAAACAATTAAAAAAAAAAAGTATTGAGCGATGATAGAATGTTATTATCAAAATATATAATACAGAATGATATTCTATTGTATGAAAGCTCATCAATTCTTTCTTCACCAAGGACTTTACTTTTATAACATCTTAACGAAAAAGATGATAGATAAAATAATCTTGAAGCTTAAAGGTTTAAAAATACTTAACTGTCACATAGGATATTTCAAAATGAATCGAATAAAAGTCTAGGAATATATGAAAAAGGAAACATAGATGCTATTATCTAGACAGTAGAAATAGATGAGCTGCACGAAGAACCAGGAGTAGATTCAGGAATTTATCCCCATTTCTGGAAAAGTCCCATACGTTGGCAACGACAATTTGATCCCCAAAGATTGCAGCGACATGATGAGCTGTAGCAGCAGTCGTTGGGTCGGTGATCGCAGTTTCCATCTCGTCGAATACAGCCACGTCTAAAGACATATACGTACGGGGAACGTCTACTCAAAATTAAGGAAATTAAAAAATAATTTATTCAAATTTTCAAATCAGGCATTATCATCTAATTCATAACATCAACACAGACAACTAATAATTTGCTGTCAACACTGCAAATCCAAAATAAAATTATTCATACACGTGTCAAATTTAGTTATTCAATGTGAATGACATGGATAATGTCATCAATAAATTATATTATCCTACCTGTGTGAATTATCACCAACACTTTTGAATATGTGTGGAGAATTTTTGGATTTGCAATTAGAAAGTCAAACCTTACAGCAAGTTCTCCAAATATGGACCATCACTATATTGATTCTGTTTGATACAATTTTAAATTTTGAAGTTGAATAGCTTTTTTCAGTTTCAATTAGTTGATAAACTATTGAATTATTACCAGCTATGATTATGCAACAGAGAAGAAAATTTTTATTAGATTTTTAAAAAGTCTGACTTCATCAAAAAGGTAGTTAAATCAGGACTTTTTTTTTCTTTTGAGATATCTTTTTCAACTGAGCCATTGATACTTGAGTCTATTGTTAAGCTGTATTGACAGTTCAATCAATTGTGAGTAGACTTTTTCAGCTATTGATAGAGATTTAGTAATAATCTTGCAACTTTTATTGAAAAATGATATAAAATCTTGAAGTAGAAGTAGTAATGTGATTAACTGGAAAAGTTGTATTGGAATATCATTATAGTCTATATTATTTAATTAGTCCATATTTAAAAAATTCAATCTACAACATATCATCAATATTTACAAATCAGAATTCATGTTTTTGGATATGGTTCTAACATTTTTACAACTTTATACCAATCATCAAAGTATCTATAGATAAAAAAAATTTTTTCTAATTAAAATATTACTTTTTTTTCTAAATAACTGAGTCTCAAAATTCCATATTTTTAGATTCATAATATAACTCACATCCAGCTTTAAATAAAATAATTTATTTGATTACAAGGTATTGTCGATGAATAATTAGGAATAATCTATTGATCCATTCTTTAATTAATTGAAAAAATGCTATAAATAAGTAGGAAAAATATTCCATATGTATCTGAAGATATATATTAAATTAGATTATCATTCATTTATAGAATTCAGATATTTTTTGTTCAATATTTTATAAAATAATCTTCTACATTGGACATTTTGACAATTTTATTCTGAATATTAATTTCAAATTTTAGTCTCCAGAATTTATTTTTAATGAATTTAATCAATTAAATAATTTACACTCCACTAGATTTTTAAATATTCTAAAATTACTGAATCAAATGATGAACTTTAACATTAATGTAACAGAATAATTGAAGCAAATGTAATTGTAACATTAATTATAATTTATATTCAATTATATTCTTGACAGGTCAACTAAAGTGCATGTATTTAATTTTAGAGAATACTGTGATGAATTAAACTCATATGAAAGATCTTTATTGTAATTTAAGTGTCACAAATTGTATTACTGTTTAAATTGAGAGAAATTTCAAGAATAAAATAATGCATGGCTAAATAAAAATTGCCATGACGTTGCTATTTTCAAGACATATTGTAAGTTTAATAGTTATATTTAAGAAGGAGATAGATTTAGTTTAGTTTTACATTTACTATAAATTATAGTACATGAGCAACTCTACAGAACACAATCATCCGTGTAAAACACATCGATGTCAATAGCATTCCAAAGGAGTTTCGTTCTGGAAAAGTTCTTTCAACGTGACTAAACGAAACTCTAAAAGAATTGAATTATAGGAGAATATAAAAAAAAATGTTCAATACGAAACCATAAATTTATTTTCAAGAATTATTGGTAAAAATATAATTTTACTGTAAATTTACATACAGAAGATGAATGTTGGAACAAAGGTAACTCTGATTATCAATTTATAAGGTAAAAGAAAAGATAGCATTGAGCTTCACACTATGAAAATATGATTAAATTAATGAAAATTAATTCATCAGGCTTTGACTGGGTAAATTAAACCAAGATAATCTGATTTGTTTCTGAAAGACTTTCAACTTAACTCAAGTGAACCAAAAGAAACCGGACACGTTATGGACTTAACGATGGAAATTTAATCAGATTCTTACTCTTCAATTTAGCTGAGACTGCTCGGAAGAACACGTAGGAATTTTTCATTTACATGAAATAAAATTTTGTCAAACTAAAATTAATTTTCTTTAAATTAATTAAAGAGACTTTAAGAAAAAAATAAGTAAAAATCAGTGTTAAATTGTACATACTAAAATGGACATCTTTAGAATAAAAAGTTGAACCAAGTGAACCTGACAAGGCATCAGGACCTTAGGAAGTCATCTCCAGTAAGATCAACCTAATACAGTTCATACAAACAATTATGCCTGCCTATCATCAAAAGGTAGACATCTATTTGGTCCTGATGAAGACCAACACAGGATATCTTAGTGTAATGCAATTATAAATTCATTACTGTTTTATTCAAGTTTATTTTTAAAACAAGAAGCTAGTGTAGATTTATTATCCTGCAATGCTGCATTCTTACCAACCATGACTTGATAATTTCTCTCAGTGTAGTCTATTTGAATAAACTTTTCTAAAATAAGTCCAAACATGCAATAGTTATGTCCATCAACAACCAATTCAAAAAAAACTGTCTTATTCAAACTAGTAATTACAACTTTTTGTTAATATGTGTTACTAAATATCATTCACAAATATTTTACTCTTTAGAAATTTCCGAGCATTTGACTGATAATGTCAACATTGAATGTCAATTTATAATAATATATATCGATCTGAATAAGTATATTGTTGAAAAGTAATATTCTGGTGAGTTTATTATAGATATTAGATCATTAAAATGATGAAAACCGGAAATTGAAGGAAACTCAAATAAAATGAAAGATGAAATTGTATGTCATTTTTTTAACAAAACAAACTACGTGTTTGATACCAGTTAAAATAAATAGGGGAATTTAAATGGGTTTTTTTAGATGTCTGTGAGAATATTATTAAGATTCATAAAAACTTAATACTCCAAAATTTATAGTCATAAACAAATTTGTTGAATTAAAAGAGATAATTAGTTTTCATCCAAAATCATGATGCATAATAATAATTTAAGAACAACACAACAGTAAATACATTTCCCGAAAAGCAATCATAACTCACTTCTGTTGAGCCGCCCCCATTATGTTCTCCAATTCATTATTATTGGCGTAATCAGGTTCAACTGGCACAATGTCTGCATCTGCATGGAGTAAAACAAATCAATTAATTTATTATTTAGTATTTATGTTTAATAATTAAACGATATAATTTTTCTTTGATTATTATTATAATTATAAATTTTACTCAAATAATTATGGTTTGAAATTTTATTTGAAACATTAAGTATAAAATGTTATTAAAAGTTTGTCGAACATAATTATAAGTTACAAAACTTGTGACAATTTAAAGTTAACGTATGATGGTAAGTTTTTAACTCAGTAATTTGATCTTTGATAGAAGATTATTTAAACCTATGATATTTAAGATTATATAAAAAAAAATTTCCTGCAATTTTTTTTTTCCTTTGTATAGGTCTAATTAAATCCTTGTTATATCACTAATTAAAAAAGCTCCAAGTCATTATCATCTAGTAAATCACATGATTTGATATCTGAAGTCTTAAAAGAAGTTGTAGAAAATGAGATGGAATAATTAAAAACACAATTACTATTTCTCATCAGTTATCTCTATGGCTAAATTAATTTTATTTTGTGAGTATAAGATGATCGATTTTTATTTCAATTTCCTTTTTTTATTATTATTTTTATATTCACCCACTTGCACGTTTTATTAGCAGGATAAATAAAAATAAATGAAAAGAAGCAAAAAGAAGTATCTGTAAATAACATTCATCTAAGTATCTAAAGAAATAAAATTAAAATTTTTCGCACGTTTGCATTGAATCAATTTATCACTCTTAAGTTTTATTGCTATCTGGTTTTTTTTTTGTATACACAAAGGAATATAACAACTATTCTTCAGTGTTCGTTAATCCAAATACACAAAAATTCCTAGAAAAATACACTGACAGAGCTTACAGAAAGAATGATTATATTGAAATGAAAAATGATCTTAATATTGATAATCTCTTGGATTTATCAATTGTCACGAAGGACATATTGTTTATGAGTAAATAAAAAAAATTTATCATTCATTTTTAATCCCTTTATTTGAAATTTTAATAATCAAGTAACGAATGAATATTTATAAGTGATGATACATATTTTAAAGGAACTAATTAAAGTAATAACTTCATATTTCTAAAGATCAATATTTTTTTCATTATTTATTTAAACCACGTATTTATTATTGAATAATTTATTGGAATTATTTTCTATGAATAACATCTGCAGAATTTTAATTAATTAAATCAATAAATTTAATTATTATATCACTGTAAATACTTTTACTGATAAATTAGTATAAAAATGTAAAATCACAGATTATCTAATGAAAATTAAGTTAACTAAAGAATACAATGAGAAGTGTTTCTATTTTCAAGCTGATAATTTAACAAATATTATTCCACAAAATATTTCATAAAGAAAATAAAATCAGAAAAATCACATTGCGAAATAGAGTAGTGACATTGTCTATAATAACAAAAAAAAAATTAATCCATAACTGCTTTATTATGCAGTAGAAAAATCAACACTTGTTATGATAATATGTAAAAAATTTACATTTCTACACCGATTTTTGTTGTGTCAGTAAAAAAGGAAAAACTCAATTGAAGATTAAACTAAAATCAATAGAACCTTTTTTATCTCTTCTTTCGTCTAACAAATGTTTCTTCTGGACTTAAGAATAGTCACTTTAAGCCTTTTCGAAGAATGCGATTAGTTAAGAAAATTGAAAGTGGATTAAGTTTAATGAAAAAGAAAATTGGAAAATCATTTAATCGTATCCGTTCCTGACGAGTCATTTATCAATTACACCTGTTCTATGATAGAAACTATTGCATACTCTTTCATAAATTGATTTTACTCTTTGTGACTCTAGGGCGATATTATTTTTATTTTCTAATTTATTCCATATGTATATACATATTATATTACATGAAGGATACCGATAATTGTATCACAGAAATGAACATTGATCGTTCACAAATGTGTGTGATATTATTGTGCTATTTATCTCGAGCACACTTGACTATTATCATAAAATAGTATGATAAGGGAGTACACAAGTGTTGTAAAAAGGGTGGAAAAATTGTAATAGAAATAAAATTTGTAAGAATCATGGACAGAGTTGTTAACACTAACGATTATTTAATTATTATAAATAAATATAACAATGGATAAATTGTTACACAAAAATGTGTATTACTCTACCATATGTTAGAAAGAATTAATGACTACATTATTAATTAATTTAAAAATTCGGTATAAATAGTTTTGTTATGAATAAAAAAAATTAGGTTCAAGTTAAATAAAAAATTGAAATGTAGGTCAAATATAATGATATTGTTTGAAAAACCACATAGCTCTGTTCAAAATAGCTCTAATAAACGAACGTTTGTTTAAACAGTGACAACGTTTTTTTTTTTTGTTTTTTTTTTGACTAATCATTGACTATATGAATACGAGATTTGATTATTTTATTTGAATAATAAATAAACAGAATCGAAATAAACTTTAGTGTTGTAAAAATAATAAATTCCTATAAAAACTTTCCGTACTTTGTTGCAAAAATAAAAAAAAAAAAATGGTTAATTTTAAATTTCAATATTTGGAATTTATCTAGTATGCAAGTTTTGTTCTTGTATTCATATCATGATAGCAGCAGTTTTAAAGAAACAGATTAAGCTGTCCTCTCATTTCTCTAGAAGTTCAGTATTATGTAAATTCAGCTGTGATAAAGGTGTTAGAGTATGCAAATTGCAATTATATGTTGGTAACATTCAGTTAAAATTATAATTTACAGTTAAGATAAGGATAAAAAAGATATGAATACATTTACAATAATTTTATTGTTGAATTAAAAAGTGTAAGAATAAAAATATTTGCGGAATAATATTTATTACTTTGCGAGAATTTTTTAAAACCTATCCTTGAAAAACGTATTATCAAAGCTCTTCTAAGTTGAAATTACTCTCATGAGCTTTCATATTAGATTCATTCTGGAATACTTTAATTACTTTCCAATATATATGCCTTTAATGGCAATAGTTTAAGTGGTTGGCTTTAAATGATCTTAATGTAATTAAAAATTGGCAAAGTGTTGCAGAAAAATATTTACTTCGAATTGATTATTGGATAGAAATATTTTTGCTTCATTTTTAAAATGGGAGGTATCTTAGTAAAATAATTATTTACGACAACCCAAAAATTAATTACTGACTTGTCACTTTTTGCACTTACATTTAGTGAAAAATTTTTTTTTGCCTTACAAAAGAGTGCAAACAGAGAGAAATACATAGTTGGATTTATTATTAATAGTTCAAAAAGAATTCAACTATTTTCTGTCAATAAAAATTAACACAGGATTGTAATCCAACTATGAGACTTAACTATTATTTTTTAGAGTGAAACTGGCTATTTTTGAACCAATACGGAGCCAGTGTTAGTAATTAATGCCTCAATATTAGCTTAAATTTTTTGCATCTGATAAAAAACATTTCTTTTAAAATATCCACAAAACAACAAATTAATTTATTAAAACCAATGGGAAATTTATTACCTACCAATGGGAATGCTTGTTTTACTCTTTTAAATACAAGCTAATTCTGAACAAAGTCATGCAATTAGACTTATAATATTTTTTTCATTTCTTCTATGTATAAAAAACACTGTGATAAAAATCCTAGAAAGTTTAACATACAAGTGAATTCATTTTTATCACTAGTTTTTTTTTTTTGGAATAATATTGTTCTTATTGAATAAGCACAAATCAAACTATAATAGAACTACTAAAGAAGAAAAATAGCGAGTACTTCTTATCTCGACAAACTTCATGAGTTATAAACGATGTCTTTAAAGAAGAGATTGAAGGATCATCTAAAATAAATTGACATTTTGAATGAAGATTTAACGACATACTTTAAATAATAAAATTGCATGATCCAATAAAAGTTGAATACAAAGTACATTAATAAGTAACAATAAAATTAATTAAATAACTTTTATTAATTAAAAATGTAATCTAAGTACAAAAAAAACTGCAATCAATAGATGTTCTATTATAAATAAAATAGTTGTAACAAAAAATAATTATATCAATCAATTTGTATGGTAATATTTAGTATACAAAGTGTGTCTAAAAGGTGTTATCTTCATATTTAAATTCAAAACAAAGTTGACAAAGAAAACTAAATAATAATTCACTTTCATTAAGATAAAAATGTTAATGTCACTTTGTTATATATTTAATTACGTTACATTATAAATGAATTTTTGTGAAATTTAAATAATATGTACTTAATACAATTATAAAATGAAATTAACTAATGTGAATATATTACGTGATAGCATTTCAGAGCATCCATTTGTATTATCACTTATGAAACTTTAGCTATAGTCATTTATTCATCAATACAAAAACATTTATGATTCAAAGCTATCTGTACACGTTACAAATCTCCATTAAGCTGTTTAGTATTATATATATGCAAGAAATAATAAACGTAATTGATATTTATTGAAGTACTATCATATTAAAGAGTCTAAAAATTAAAAAAAAAAAGCTCTTATAATTATTTATTTCATTTTCATTAATGTGTCTAATATTTTACCAACATCTGGAACATGTTGTATTGTATTTTATGATGATCTTCATTTAAAGTAATATAATTTTATGATAGGGGTATTAAAAGTGCGATGTAATCAACAGTCGAATAAATTACATCAATTTATTCAGTAAACAATGGTAATTTCAACGTTATTTATAGATGAGAAGTAATTGCTATTTTATTGATCTAATTATTAATTGAAGTTGTAAAAGTGCATTATTTATTACTTCTCAATAGAAGAGAAATAATCATTATTTATTTGAATTACCGACTTTTCTGCACTCAGAGAAATTTCTAATTGCGTTAACTATTTTTAATAGTTAAACATTCATCAAAATATGAGTCTAGGAACTAAAAAATATTCAACAATACTTAAAATACTCGTCATTATATCTGTTTTTTTTTTTATAGTTAATAAAAAATAATTAAAGAAATTATTTCAATTTTTTTCAGTATGTAAATAGTAATTTTTTTTTTTGCAATGTTAATATAAAATAATTATTGTCTGATCAAAAAATTCTTTGAACCCCTTAGAAATAAAATCTCGAGGAAATAAAAATAAATAAAAAGACGTTTATTCAAACGTCATAATGATAAGAGATGATTTTTTTTTTAATTGTTGACAAATATATTTTAAAAATAAATTATAAAATTATAACTTACCTTCATCAAAATATGGTCCAGCATAAATTTTCTCTGTCAGTAAACACAGAAGTAAAAAGAGACTAAAAATACTGATTTTTAAAGCCATTATTAAAAACTGATATGTTTTTTATTTTTTTTTTGTTAAATATTCAAAAAATGTAAGAATATTAAAAATGATAGCCTTTGAGCTTTAAATTGACAGGCTTTTTTTCCAACTACAACCGAAAGTTATATCAGTGTATGTGTGTGTGTTCTTGACAATGTTGATTCGGTAACGAGTTGAAAAGAAAAAAAGCCGCTACTGCCGGGTTGTCCGGATTGCGAGTGACTCGCCGTCGAGATGACTACCCTTATATAGACGAGAGAGGCGTGGCCGTTTACTCTGAAGGACGAGGGGTGTATGGAGAGACTTAAGAGCGGGGGCGAGTTACTATAGGGATTTGTGAAATATCTTAGTATTTGCATTTCACCAAAGATGAAAGTGAAACGCAAAAGAAGAAGATGACAAGAAAAGTTTTAATATCAAAAGGAGAATGACTTTTGTGATTAACTATTATCTCACACCTTTTTATCTCTTTCATCACCACATCAGCAACTGGTTGCAATGCAACTAGTATTTTTCATCTTTCATGCCACGTTTCTTGAGCTTCTTCACTTTACCCTTTTTCTTTGATTATCAATATTTAAAAATTTGCAAATTAAATGTTGAACACTAAAACGTGATTTTAAAATTCATGTGAATTAAAGCAAACTCACTAGAGAATTATATTATTTTTAATAATAATTTCAAATGACTTAGAAATATTTGGGGGAAGTTTGATTTCATTAAAATCTCCAAAACATGTTGATGAATCTTTTGATTAATGATAGCTTCAAATCACTACCAAGAACAGTTTAATTTTCAATAAAGCAAAGAGTTTATTGTTGCAAGGATAATTTTGTCAAATACACATGTGTATGTCTACATGCTATAATAACTTTGCTACTACAAAAATACACTAGGAAAGTTTTATCATAAATTTTCCCCTTCTGAATTTATTTACAGGCATGAACTTTTTACGTATCATCTCGAATGAATAATAGGATATACGTTCAGACTTTTACAATCGTTTAAAAAATGAAATAATGATAAAATAAAAAACAAAATTCTTCATCAATTTTGCACAAAAGTCGTAAAAAAGTTGTAACAATCATTCTGTGATATTTTCTCTTTTCAATTGTTCTCTTTTATATTTTACAGTTATCATTCTATCTTTAAAGCTTCATAAAATAAAATGATGCAACAAGTTATGTATTTGACTTTACGGAAGTTGATATTTTGTTGGTTACAAAAAATATTAAAATATTATGTTCAATTAAATGAACTTAAACTTTTATTTCTAAATTTAAATTCAATAGAATTTCATGGAGTGGCCTTAAAAATAGTTCCTCTGTAACAATGTGATCTACATTGACAAAAATAATTTCATTCTTGATTATTACATTTTTAAATAAAATAATAATACTTGGAAATTAATTATCATTCCATTACTGACCTTAAATAAGATGTCCTGGTAGAGGTTAATTAAACTTATTAATAAACCAAAATGTGTTTAAGTAATTTTTATGTTATTATTTATACCCTTTAATTGTTCCGATGGGCCGTCCATACATTATTAATCTCCAAGAAAAATTACATTATAAAAAAATAGAGAATTAGCAAAGAATTTTTTTTAATTAGATACTGCTTTACTTTTTGGAGTATTTTATTACTTTTTGGAGTATCCCATTTCACCCCGGCTTCCTCTTAGAGTATTTGAATGAGTGACCACTTCAGTGATATACGCGCTATCTTTTTATTTCTAGATGAAAATATTAAGTTGTTTTGGTCTACTCGAAAGACTCTATTTTTAGTCTAATTGTAGACTATTCCAACCGAAAACAAACTTTTTATATTACCCCTAGAAATAGAATAAATTTTTTAACCCGAGTAATATAAATTCAATCGATATTAGAAATCTTCATAATTATTTAGGATTTTTTTTTTGTCAAAAGAACAAAGCAATTTCACATTTGGTAAAAAATTGTTACAAGTAATAAGTGATGAATAAATAAATAGCAATTATTGATCTTATTTTTCTAATAATTTAGAGATATATTGAATATTTAATTGACAACTGTTTGATAATTTAATTAAATTACATTTTTTAATACCAAAATTATTTTCAATAACAAAGCAAATCAAATTGACGTTAATACTTATTAAATAAAAAATATTTACGTCATAGTAATTAAAAATTTATTGTCTTTTTCTCTTTATTCTATTTATAAAAATTGAATTAAAATGCTTTCGATTAAAATTAGTTGGAGAAAATAAACCAATTATCTAAACCAACAAAAGAATGTATTTTTATCCGAAGGAAATAAGTAAATATAAATTAGTTTCGTATCGACGATAATCTATATGACGATATCCGATATTATTCAAGGTGAAAATTTTTTTTTAGTTCAAGATATATTAATTTAAATGTATTTAAAATAGTCTTGAATATTCAAATGATTTTAGAATTATTTAGAAATAATAATAATTTTAGAAATATTTTTGAATATTACAGTCATTGATTCAACAAAAAAAAAAAAAGTTGTCAAGTCAACTATATGTGTCATAGATTCCACTTCAGTTTTATTTTATCTTACATCAACTACCTAGGTGTAGTTGATTTAGGAACTCAATATTAATTGATTGGATAACATATTTGTTCACGTCTTTTTATATTTTGATTGATATTACTTAATTAACGATTAACTTATCTTATTTAAACTATTAACGAAGTGAATATTGTAACATCCCACTAATTTAATTAAATAGTCATCAGCCTTAGTCGTACAGCCCAGTCCCAGTCCAAGATTATTGGCACTGCTATAGAATCAGACATTCTATACAAGATCACCACCCAACATTTCCAAGAGATTTTGAAATGTTGGCTGCTAGGGAATTGACAGTTGATGAATAGCTTTTGATTCAGATTAAAAGAGTACCAATAAAGCTATAATTAAAAAAGAATCTAAATTAGTCTGTAACTCTGAATCATACTACCAATCCTACAGCAATTAAATTCGGTTCTGTATATGCCCGATACAGGAATATACAACTGGGTCAGTAATGGACCGTTGCTGGGTGCCAGTTTTCCAGCACTGATAGCATTATTGGGTCATTAAAAAATTTTTACTGAAAGACAACTTGGGTCTATTCATGGGCCAATGATACTTAAAAACGCATTTAAAAGTGATTACAATGTTAATAAAATGGATGACGTTATATTTAACACGTTTAGATGTGTAATAAGAATGCACTTGGATTTGCAGTCATTTAATCATCAATTGATAAATTAATCAATAATATGTGTGCCCATGTTTCATTGGTACTTGAACTTTTTTACCATTGTCATCTCCAACAACCACCTGAATAAACCAATGACAGACATGACGTCAACTTCCGTAACAATCTATTTTTTAGGAAAGGATTTTCTGAGGACAAGGTAGAAATAGTGACATCATTTATCTATTATTGATAGAGTTGACTTATAAATCTCTACAAGTCTTAGTTCAGTGTTTTGTTTGACTCTTAATGACCATTGGTATACTATTAATATTAATTACCAGATCAACTTTGTAATTCATAAGAATAACTAAGTTCATTTTTTTTTGTTCCTAGATGATGAAGACATGTGATATCATTTTCATTGCATACCATAATAAATTTGTGGCTGAGAGATAAAATTGAATTACAAAATTTCTGGGGTATATTAGTTTTAAAATAGTTTCACTGTTCGTGAAAATGAAGAGAACAAAAAGAAGTTTCTCTGCAATTTGGTCGGGAATCGATAACGTAGTCAAATATTTTATTACACGAAAAGATAGATTGATCAGAAATTCAAGGACCAACGATAAAGTTTTATTTTTCTAGATAATTGACATTTATGGTGTGTAAGAGTCTAGTTTCAATTTGAATAAGGATACTTGGATTTAATAAGCATTGCCAAACAGATACTTGTTAACATTCTACAAGATATGGATGCATAAATACATTTCTATGTAGAGAATGTTCTAGCAGCTTTTAACGTGCACATTATTCAGATATTTGTAACAATAAACTGGAGTGATATAATTTTTATAGCTTTTCAGCTTCACCAACATGAGATAATGTTACGTTCAAATAAAAATTGAAATTTAAGATTATGGGTTTTTTAATGAGAAACAATGACTATGATGAAAACCAAGACTGATGTCAAGCTGATTTATCAAATTAATTAAATGAAGAATGAAGATGAAAAAAAAGTTAAGTCTAAATTTAATTAAGTTGGATATAATATGTTCACATGTTTTCATATGATGATAGATTGAATGAAATTGATATTTTTTCTAGAAATCTAATAAATTCTTGCAATACATTTTTAGTCCAGTGAAATTAAGGTTGAAATCAGGAAATCGCTGAGTATGGCTGCAAATGGGAGGGATTGTTCTTAAAGTTATTGGGAATAATTCCCCCCTATGAAAAAATGTGCTCCAACATAGGACAAGGGTGAAAACAACCCCTCAAAAGTTTGTTTTCCATTTATCTCTATTGTAGGTCTATTTGCAAGCTAGCATTAGTCAACTCTGTTTTTTTTAGCAAAGTCAACTGATGCTAACTTGCAGATGGTTTTCTCAATAATTATTATTCGAAATCTTCCCCAAGTTACCTTGTATAAAATTAAAAAATTAAATAGTATTAATCAATTAAATTTTCAATGCTGCATTGATTAATGCTGTTTAATTTTTTGATTTTTTTGGATGTTATTTAAAGTAACTATTTTTTTCTAAACTATTAGAGATTGAAGTAAAAAGGTAGTATGCTTTTCTATGTAGAATCAAAAGGCCTACAATTTTTGTTTGAAAATCTTTTTCATATCTCGCATATTTCTCGAAATAAATGGAAAACAAACTTTTAGGGGTTGTTTCTATCCTTGCCAGGTGTTGGAGTACATTTTTTATAGCGGGAATAGTTCCTAGTAACTTTAAGAACAATCCCTCCTATTTCCAGCCATACTCAGTGATTTCCTGATTTCAACCTTAATTTCACTGGACTATCCTCTCATGTGTCCTGCATTAAATTCAGTAAAAAAAATTCATTTAACAATTATACTATTTTGAATTTAGAATTGAATATGGAATAATATTAGTAACGTCATTTGTTAATTCAGCCAATTAAAGAACATCTTGAAGTTAACTGCCAGAATGAAAAATTAATTATTTCTTTCTGATAATATTTTTAAGTAAAAAATGTAAGTAGATTTTAGGGAACTATTTCAACTCAATTAGATAAAAATTGAAAAATTTTTTAAATTAAATTTTAGTATTTGATTCAATAAACACTATTTACATTTGTTTGATCCAAGCAATATCTCTTATAAAACATGACTCTAGACTCAGTACTCTTAAAAATTGGAGTAACATTCACAAATGCAGTTATTCATTACATCCTATACCGAGTTGTAGTATATTGTTTAATTATTATCAAAAATTCTGCTGTCAAACTTGTGAAAAATCATTTTATAAAAGAACGTGTAAAAAAAAGATCAATTGGAACTTCAAGTGTTGATCCAATTATACCTATTCCACCTGTTAACCAATGAGTACTTTACTCTACAGAAAAAGTAACTGTTCACGTAAGTATGTGCTTTGATATTTAACCATAAAATCAAGTGTATTTATATTTATTAAATAATATTAAATAATACTATTGATATTTTATAGAATCTATACAAGTGTCCATTTATTTAATGACGTCAAAACGGTGATAAAAGAAATAGATGAACTTTTTAAATTGAAGTCTGATAATGAAAACTAATAATTAAATTTCCTTGGACTAAAAAGATATTAAATTGATAAAAAGCTAATTTTGTAACTATTTTTCATCATATCATTCGATAATCTCATTGGAATGTTCTGAGCCTCAAGCTATGAAATGTCAAGCTGAATCAAAATCTGACCACAAATTTGACTGGAATATTTCTATTTATGATTTTATTAACAAACACTTAGACTGTTTTATTTGGTATTGATATTTTTAAATGTAGTTTCGAACATTTTTCCACCATGTACATCAAATATCCAAATATTTATCTAAATTTAACAGATATAAAATGTGCAATGACTTTTGATACAAATATTTGAGTAAATATTGACCAATAATTTCCATACCAAATTAATTTATGGAATTGATTTTCCAGTCAATTGCAATGATTTATATATATTACAAGTTAAAACCATGTAATTAGTCATTATTGATTAACATAAAAAATATAAATATAATAATAAAATAAAAGTATCAGTATAAAGATTGTGCTCATTTATGCTCTTTCCCACAATGCAATGATGATGATGATGATTGTAAATGTACAATTTCACAGTAATTTTTACAATTTAATTTCTAAAGAACTCTTTGTCCATTAGTGGACGCACACCCAGATAGATAAATAAATAATAACTTACCGTAACTTTCTCTGTGATGTCCTGTAGCCATGCAAGAAAACAATATCCACTTCCATTTCTTGCCAATCTTTGATCCTACCAGAGTTGTACATTTCCATCAAATAATTGTATTTTCATGTTATCACTTGGTTAAAACACTAAATATTGCCAACAGCCTAGTAACCAGAGTTTTGTCTTGCAAGACAAAATTCTATCATCTGCTTTTAACATCAGATGATGTAATGAGCCTTCACATGTTCCTACCTAAGTTTGAAATTGCTCATTAGCAAAATAGAAATTACAGATGTATGGAGAATTGGTTTTTTTTATATTAAAATATGTTTTACTACACTTTTTGTCATGTTTTGTTAGCATTTGATAACTGCGTGTTGTGGCCATCATTGAAGTGTATTGGAATGTCTGTCTACTAATGATTATGCATTTTTTATTTAATTCTTTGATATCAAGTATTGATGTTTTAGTCGTAAAAAACTTTCAAAATATTAAACCTTGAATGGTACATAATACTTCTAATTTTGTCTTTTCATTTCTAATGGGGTAATACTCAATTCCATATGTAAATGTTATCAGCTTTACAGACTTTGCTACGTTCAATGTGATATTCGTAATCTACTTTAGACCATATTCATTAAAATAGTCTATTTTTTTGGTTATTAAACATTACTGTCAATGCATATTTAAAAACATTACTGAGCTTCTTAAATTCAAGTCTGTAATAAAATGAATGAAAGTTTTAAAAACTAACACAATGATCCTAGAAGCTGATGGTTTAGAAGAAACAAGAAATTTTGAAAGTACCTATAAAAAAGACTATTATCCTAAGAAATGTTCAAGAACTAAAAAAATACTACCTACATCTAATTATAATTTTCCATACAATCCAATAAATGGACCATTTATTGAATATTCAGATTACTTGGAAGAGCATATTAGCAAAGTTGATAATGAAAAGGTTAGGATAAGTATACAAAATTTCAAAAGGGCGCTGTAATTCAAAACTAAAAATAAAAATTAACTGATTAATATTTATTTTATAAATTTTTATGTGCTGTAGAAAAAACTTTTCAAAGAATTAATCAAAAAAGAAAAAGAAGCCACGTTGAAAAGTAATTATCAAGAAGAATACTGTTCATTGTATAATGTAAATACCAAAACGAATACCGTAGAAACAATTAGAAAAAGCTCTTTAATGATTTTACCTAAAACAATAAATTAATTTCTCTGAAGTGAATTATCACAAATCTTATCAAGAATTTGAAAATTCTTCCACAAGAACTCAAACTTATATCTAAATATGTTGATAAATTTTATTAATTGTCTACGTGTTAAGAATTAAAAACTCGAGGTATTAAGAATTAGAACGAAAAACAGCAAAATTAGCAATTTTTTGTAACTAACTTTAATACTCAGAAAATATAAAATATTGACATCAAATGAACATAAGATGAAATAAAAACATAAGTTAATAAAATTTTTGATTGAAAATTTATTTAAAAAACTATTATTCATTTTAAATATTTGCAAGAGTCATTTTATAGATGATTTTTCTAGAATTCTTTCATAATAAAAAATGATACATAGAAAGATAATTAAATACCAGTATTAACTCATTGAAATATTTAAAAAATCTATTATAACATTTCATACTCATTCAGATTCATACTTTTCTCTCACATATTCATCTATAATTTTTGTCTTGGAAACTTGTATCTTAATAATCATATATTTAAACATAATCTCTCATTTTTTTTTAAATATTACACTTTCTTTTTCTATAATTATTTACAACAACCATTTTCCTAATAAATCATATTTTTCATTAACCAGCCTTAAAAAACGTGAAGAAAATGTAATTGATCTATTATTTATAATATTTCACATTTTTTATCTAAATTTAACATAAAATTATAATTCATCGTAGGTGTTTCGCTTCAATAGAAATTTTTGATTAAGAAAATGTGTACAAAAATGTATATATCTTAATAAGTACAGTTTATAATTTAATTATGTGAATTATATAAATTAAAGAAAAACAAAAAGAAAACGTATTTTGAACAATTAATCGTCATGGCAAGACCTCTTATCGTTTCGCAAAGCAATCTAATCTTGAATGCTTGAAAAATTTTTTTATTGTACTTTTTTTATCAATTTAAAAAATTCGATTATCTAAACTTTTTCCTATACTTTAATAGAACTACATTTCTTACATAGTAGTTTTGATGATGATTTAAAAATATTTTCATTTTATTTTGGTTATATTAAAAATTTATATTTGGAATTATTCTTATTATTAACTTAGAATCTTATCCATTTGAATTTATGCGTGAATGTATAATTAGAAATTCTATTATTTTAATAAATTCAGTTTTGATAGTTTTTTTTTCGAATTATAAAAATGTTAATCGAAAGAATGTTTTGATGTTTATTTTACTATCATTGTATCGATTATTTATATGCAACTATTTACATTACGTTACACGTGACTTAAAAAGTTTCCAACTAAATTTTGGTTCAATAAATAAATATTTTTAATTTAATTTCTTGAAGCCAGTTCAAAATGCACTAAATAGCATTTTGACATCACCAGATAAATGTGTTGTCACTTATTGCTCATTTATCTCTAAATTCAGCGTCCGTCTGATGTCACTATCCCACTATCTGTAATCATATCTGGTAAGGATGCTCCTGTGCCCTGAAATAAGAATGAATAATTAATATAATGCTTTTTGTACATTAAATTAATATTAACGTGGCAACAAGAAACAAAAAGTATTTTGTTCATCATACTACATATTTTTTAAAAAAAGGAAACTACTTTTTAGAAAAAAGCTTATTCTTTTTTAATAAAGTATATAAAAATTTACTACACCAAAGTTAATTATGTGTTGACTATGAATTGAATATTTCCCAAAATAGTAATTAATGTCTTACCTCAATAATGATAGTTGGAGTCATATTATCCGTATTATGATGTTGAATATTTGAATTAGCCGTTGTCAGCGAAATCGTCCTGATGGTATTTGTACTACTTGAAGTTGTAATATTTTGAGTAATATTATTTGCATTTGCTCTGCTGATATAACAATATATAGACATATAATTAAAGAAATAAATAAAAATAAAAATTATACCATCTAATATAAAAATAAAAATAATCAAATTTATTCAAAGTAGTAATAATTAAAAAACCAGGAACATTTAATAAAGAATAATTTGATAATTTTATTTTTATATATAAATATGAAATCAACTTACCTTCGTTTTTTTACTTGACCAGAATGAAAACGTCCACCTTCACCTCGAATTCTATTCATTGCATGACGATGCCGCGACTCATGCAAATATTTCTAAAAAGTAATTTAAAAAATCAATATTAATTATTACAATGATATATATTATAAACATAATCATTTTCCAACTTACTGGTCTTTCTTTAGGTATTTTTCCCTCGGCTTCAAGTTTCGCTCGAGCTTGTCGACGTTTCAATATACGTCTGTATTGCTTCGCATTTACATAAAGAGGTTCTTCTTCAAGAAATTCTGCATTGGGTAATGCTACCCTTTGGAATTGTGCTTGACCACTACTTCCTGGTACCATCTACATAGAAAAATTTTATTGATTCAGTTATAAATTATGTGTCATTACGTATCAAAGTATCTTAAAAAATGACAATTTTTATCATTTATGTGTAAATTTTGATAAGAAATTTAGAAATTAAATATAATATCTACCATGACTATGTTTCCTGCCTGAGTAGCTGCTGTATTTGGACTGGTAATTGGTTGAACAGGAGTTGTAGATGCTGCTGTTGCTGTTGGAGTAGTTCCAGCAATTTGCATTAAATTACCATTGATATTAATAACTAAAAAAACAAACAATAATTATAAATTTATATAAAAAGTTAAGTTATCTGATATTTTATATAAATTTATAAATACCTGTAGGTTGTGACTGAGCAACTTGATTCTCCAACTGCACAGGTTGATATATATATGTTTGTCCATCAGGAGTTTGAATAATTTGTGGTGTCTGGGGTTGTTGAATAACTAACTGTTGACCTCCTCCAGCAAGAGAAGATACAGGAACGACTTGAATTTGACCATTAGGTGCTGCTACTTGAATTGTTTGTGGAAGCATCATAGCTTGACCACCTTGTCCCATTTGAACAACTTGTACAGTTCCTCCAGCTCCACCAACCATGACCGCTTGTCCTTCTCCCAGTTGTTCCATCTTATTTTTGTACTATAATAATCTAACAATGAAAAAAAAAACAATATTTAATAACACATAAACAAAATATGACAAAAGTTTTATACTGAAAACAGGTTAGAAACATGCAGTCGGCAAAATAGAATCGAGGCTGTTTGGTCACCTCGAATAATCATGAAAATGTACAATGAAAAGGTATATGCCAAGAGTCTGGTTGATGCCTGAGGAATTTTATGGTTACACTTCATTGTTGATTTTAATTTCATTTACACACTCTTAACGTAAATAGAATCACAAAAACCTATGTATTATAACACTTGAGTGTTCGAAATCGATTGTGAAACAGATGGATAAGTGTCTCAGAGTAGAACCGACTCCAAAATAACAGAAGACCTCGACAAACATGGCCGTTGACGGGCATTTTATGCTGCAAGTGACGCGCGTTGACAATGAAAACACGCGAAAATGCCAGGAAACCGAAAACAATGCCTAGACAACGTGATCACGGTGCCCGCGCTTAACGTACAAGTGTTCGATAATTTGTGGACTTACATTGGATATTTTCGTGGGCACTTTCCCAATGATTGGTCGGCAAATTGAGGACCAATGGTCGGCGATAGCGAGTCCTCGGCCCTTGTGTATTGGTGGCACTGAAGGGGGTACCTGCCAGTACGATGCCAAGCCGATGTCAGACCGGTCGATGCCCCTCCGTTCTTCTACCCGTGGCCAATAGCGTCACTAGTTAACCCCCCGCGCTAAGATCTCCGCGTCTGTATTCTGAATCGCGCTTCATCTACACCCAACCAAGTGGCGCCACCATCATTTCCCGCGTTTTTTTAAACTGCTCATATGAGTTCATCATATCTTTTTACGTCATAAATCATGCTTTTGGTTTTTATTGGTTTATTAATAAATATACACTAAAAAACAAGGTATATTGTTGATAAATAGTAACTTATCTATTACTGAAACTGTTTATCTATAAATATAATCTCACAAATAATTAGAATTCTTTACTAGTACACAGTATTTATAACTTTGACATTCATCACTATTAGAAATTGGTAAAGACATATATCTACAATATGTTGATAAAATTATGTGATAGAAATTTATACTGTTACTGCATTTATTCAATCGAGTCATTGTATGACTTAACAATTATGAATAAACTATTTATTACAAAAAAATCAATAATACTAAATTAAATGTCATCAAAATTGCGACTTCCCTCAATTGGTCCTATGGTGTAACGGTTAGCACTCTGGACTCTGAATCCAGCGATCCGAGTTCAAATCTCGGTGGGACCTGAAGCTTTTTTTTTCTTGGATTATTAAATAATCATCATATTTTTAAATAATATAATTAGCAATTCAATTTTCCATTATTGTATTTTTTTATGTTATCAAAATATTATTGTTTTTAAAATCAACGAGTTTTGTGAATTTTATTCTCATACAAAATAAAATTAATTAACTTGATAAAAATAATTGAAATTTGTATCAAGTATTTTATCGTCATATGAGATTTGCATATAATAACATAAAACTTTAAAATCCATTCTTTATCAGATAAATTTAAGTAAATATTTTCTCACCGTTTACTTTGGATATTTAAATGATCGATATAATCAATGAACTAAAATGAAGATTCTTATAATTCAGGAAAAAATAATAATAATAACAACGATTTAAAGATAAAAAATTTGATCATACTCTAATTAGGACAAGACTGTATATTAAAAAAATATTATAAATATTTTAATGGGATTATTTGCAAAATTGATATAGATGGCGTTACTTCAACAAATTTTGCTTTATAATATCACACGTGTAGTGTGGCAGAAGAGAGAGAATTTGTGACGGATAATATAATGCTCTCAGTAAGAATAAGATGGCAATTAAACGCGAAACTGCGGATAAAACGGTGGTAAATCAAAATCGTTCTTTTTCGTTTGCTGGTGAGCAGAAATAATCAGTTTAATAATAGTTCTAACTTGACTAAAATATTAATTAATAAAATATTTAGTCATTAAACAACCCATGCAAGATGGCATATACTATGGTATCAACAACAAATGGAATAAAAAATGAAATTAAAAAAGGAACGACTATTATTACTGCAGAACCCTTTACATTTGTTTTAAGTTCTCAACATAGGACTGAACGTTGTGATTATTGTTTTCAAAGGTATTTACTTATGTTTGTTTACTTTTTGTTTTATATTGTATTTTATTGGGAAAAAAAGAGTATTTACTATTAATTTTCGTAAACGTAACAAAACGAATATCCAATTACTGATTAATTATGCTTAATTTTAGTGGGAAAATCTCAAGATGTTCTGGCTGCCAATACGTTTATTACTGCAGTAAAAATTGTCAGAGGAGAGGATGGATAACCCACAAAGTGGAATGTCCAAATATAAAACGAGTACAGCCACGAATAATACCTGATGCTGGTCGAATGATGGCAAGAATAATTATCAAACTACATCAGGGTGGAGCAGACGAACGGGGTTATTATACACCAACGAAATATAGAACATTTTATGACTTGATGTCGCGTAAGAGATTTTCAAAAATTAGTGACATATTCTTTCTAAGTTATCATGTATTGGTAAATGATTATTAATTAATATTTTTTCAAAATTTATCTTCAGACGTTTCAAATATCAAAGAAGACGTATCTAAAATGGAACACTTCACATCTTTGAGTATGGTTCTTCTTGAATTCTTGCCAAAAGACATGCTACCAGAGCCTAAAGAACTATTAGAAATTTTTGGACGTATGAGTGTAAATTCTTTTCATATACTCGATACTGATCTAACTAGCCTGGGAGTTGGGATTTATTTAGGACCATCAATTATCGACCACAGCTGTAAACCTAATGCCACTGCTATTTTCGAAGGCACTACACTTATTATCAGGACGTTATGCGATTTACCAACATTAGATTGGACGAAAGTAATATAAGATTTTATGCATTATGGATTAAATTGGCTCATTTATTCTAACACTTACTCAACGAAATATTAACTTGTTTAATATGCAAAGAATATTGCTAGAAAATGTTCTGAAGAAGTATATATATTATATTTATATCATTTACTAGGTTCATATAACATACATTGACTTACTAAAAGACACTAAAACACGAAGAGCCGAGCTACAACAATCTTATTTTTTTTGGTGTGATTGTGAACGATGTAATTCACCTGAAACTATGGAAATCTCTGCTGCTTGCCCAAATAAAACATGTATGAATCCATGTTCATCGACTGATACAAATTGTAGTAAATGTGGAGAAAAATTTCCAGATGATTTTAGGGATGAATTCGATAGAGTTTGTGAATTATCTGTTTATCAACTAGAGAGAATGGCTAATATTGCCTGTATCCTTTTACATTAACTTATTAATTAAAACATTAATCGTTGTTTCTTCAAATATTATAAAGTTTTTCTTAAATATTAATATTAATTAGATCTAGATGCTAGTCGAATGTGTTTAGAACGACAACAAGGCATATTGCACCCTTACAACCTGCTAGTTGTGAGAATGTTGGAAATGGCAGTTGCAGCTGCAATAGATTTAGATAGGTGGGATGAAGCTGAAGTTTTTGCTGCTCAATTGGTATCACGATATCTGTAAGTGTTAGTGTTTATTAATAAACATATTTTTTAATATTAATATTATTTAGAGGGGAAATGATTTATTTCCAGGTTTTATTATGGTGAAACTCATCCTATGACTGGACAAATGTATTTCTCTTGGGGAAAGCTTTTATCTCTTCAAATGAAAGGTGTTCAAGCTCTTGAAGTAGTAACAAAAGCTGCTCAAATAATTAAAGTAGCATTCGGAGAAAATCATTCAAAGATGAGAACTGAAGTAAAGCCTTTGCTTGATCAATTGATGGCGGAATATCATATGTCTAAAAATGGTTACTAAATTAATAAATGTATGTATATCATTTCATATTATGTACTTATAAATTCGAACGACTTTCTATATTGTAATAAAACTATTTTGTAGTAATTATGGTTCTTTATACTTAAAACGATTGATCCTTTTTCGTTAAAAAAGTTGATCTTTATTTAGAAATACATTATTACTCACACCAGAATCAAAATATTTAATATGTAAATTTTCTTTTACATTTTAAACATATTGTTTCAAGTTACACTTATTATTTAAATGCAATCTCTATAAACATTTATTCGCTTAAACTGTCATAAGTCTGTTATAAAAAATGTATACGCATTTTTTTTTTTTAAATTAATGTTGGAAAAATTTTATGATTAATGTCTGAAGTATAAGATTTTGGTTTTCTTACACACACATACAATCATGTAGCATTCGCACTAATCTGAAAAATGATATTTTCTAACGATAACAAGCTTTAGATTAAAAAAAATAAAATTATATCATTTATCAAGAATGAATAAATCTTGTTAACCGCATCGAATGAAAAATAGCCATTAGATTAGATAGATAACGACATTGTATAAAAAAAGAATTATTTTGAATTTTTTGTTGAATTTTTACGAAATTATATATTTATAAATTGAAAATATAGACCGCCAATACTGTTTATATAAAGAGACTTATCAGTCTTCATACAATGTCTTGAAAAAAATTAATATTTTTTTACTTTTTTGTTAAAATTTCGAAAACATTCATCAATAACGGAGATTATTAAAATAAAAGGTTTCATTAAATTATGTCAACTATTGTTTTCAGCAACTGCCCCCAGTTTGTTGTTGATAAACTTCAATAGTATCCATTTCTTCCATGTCTAAACTCAAAGGTGTATCAGTTTCATTAATAGGAGCACCATCAAATCTAAATCTCACTAATGCCATCGCTAAACCCTGAAATTAATTGAATTACAAACGATTAATCACTTTTTCGTTCAATAAAAATTCATCAAATTAAAAATGTAAACAAGACTTACCGCACGTTCACAATAGGCATTCATAAGCTTTCGTAAAGGTGTATGTTTCTTTATTTTAAATTGAACTACATGACTATCTTGACCCAAAACTCTTAGGTTTATATGTTCCGATTCGGATTTTTGTTCCTATAAAAAAAAATAAAACGAAATAATTAAATTATTATTTCAAAATGATATCACTAATACATTTTTTTGAGGTTATACGCTCTTACAGATTTATCTGCCATGATTTTAACACCAATTTATTACTACCAATATTTAACTTAATTTTTATTTTAAGAATTATCAATAAACGTAAATGTACTATTATACTCAAGCACTTGATAAAACTAATCCAAAGCCCGCTCTTTATGTTGGAAGAGTGCACTCATATTTTTCTCTTGCTTTGTTTTCAATGAACAAATCCTGAATTGAAATATTATATACACTTACACGTAATGTTGTGTCTATGTAGTGTGAAATGAGTATACTAACTGTCAGCTATACATATCATATACATAGATTCATTTGTGAATGCACATGGATATACATATATATATATATATATATATATATATATATATATATATATACCCATACATACAACAAAAAATACAAATTATTTGTATGTAATCTTTGCATGGGCTTTTACGGTGATTACGTATTTTCCTCCAAACTATATTACCATATAAATATGTATCACAGCTAATTGAAAATCACGTGATCAACATAAGATAATATGAATAATACTTAAAATTAATAATAACTTTAAAAATATAGAAAAATGCATGGAATGTGAATAAAAATTAGAAATGATTTATAAAATTTTTTGAATATTTTTTACAAAACACCATCGAGTAATTAATTTCCTTAATTTAAGAAAAACTCAAGTTTATTGTGTTTTTCTTTTCAAATTAAACTAATCAGTCGTTTATTTATGCAAATAATCACATAATTATAATATATAAATTACTATATACATAATAGTAATTTTTATTCAGGAATAATTGCAATTTTTTTCGTTTGCAAAATTGTTATCATTAAAAATTATGAATTGTTAAAAACACGGTTTGATTTTACAAAAAAACTTATGACTTGGTTTTTCAAAAGAATAAACATTTACAAATAAAAAACACTAAAAATTAATAAATGTTTGAAATGAAGACACTGTCATAATATTATTTAAATTCCATGTTTTAATTTTTCAAACAGAAAAAAATTATCTTACTCATAAAATTTTTAGTTGTTAAAGTTAAATATATTCTAATTTTTTTCTAATGTTTATTTTTTTATTACAACACAACTGTAATACTTAAATACGTTGTAGTTGATAACAAATCGCTGCAAAATGTCACATTAACAATATGTAAATTTATTATTAGAAATTATCATAAATTTTAGTGAGCACAAATTATGATCCATATGGGAAAATTTTCTTCTATTCAACTATATTGGTGTAATTTAACCGTGAAGAGTATATTAAATAATCTAGACAAAAGTGAACAACTAAAATACTTTACAATAGACTAGACTTAGGAAAGCATCATTATATTGGGTCCGGATTTAGTTTTCCTTTTTTTTACTCCCTGGGAGTCTTGGGCTCTAATCCCCTCTTTTCCATCGCGAATTCGACCTTGAGTTTTAAAGTAATACGCATAAACCATCCTAATATTTAGGTACATACAAATTTCCATGAATCCACTGGTATGGGTTTTTCCCCTTAATTTTCATCGTAGCCTGTGTAGTGACCAGCCATTTTCTACACAGAGAAAATAATATTCCTTAACTTTTCATTTATTAATTTATATTATTAAATAATTATTCCTATCATTATTGAAAAGTATTTAAACATATCAATTCGGTAGTTATGAATATGTAAAGTGTGTATTAAAGTTTTTGAATTAGGTGTATACATACTATTAATAAAATACTTGGCATCACAATCTTTTGTTATGTTAATGCTATTTAATAACCTATAAAGTGGCAATAAAATTTTTATTCATCAGGATTTTCTTGGTCTCCGTATAATATGCATTATTAAATCATCTAAATAAGGATCAGTTTGTAAAAAATATGACAATACTAACCAACAAATGTTTTAAAATGGTTGGCGGGTTGTAGAGGACTAAGGGTCGCGCATGCGTAGTGAGTCAACGTGCGTACGTGCCAGGATAGCCTACTGAATCAGTTTCGAGGGGAATGGGAGGAAAAATGGTGGGGAGACATAGCTCGGGCTTCAATAGTTTACGTTTATAGTCGGACTGAGAAGAGAGTTCCTCAGATGTTCTTCATGTGTTCTTGTACGCTTGCGCAGTAGTAAAAAACATGGTAGAAGGGGTAGAAAATCAGTGGTGGGGAGCCCGAAAGCATTGAAGCAACTGAGGAACTCTCTTCTCAGTCCGACTATATACAGTAGTTCACTGGAGTTTACTTCGGTGTGCGAATGCGAATAATTTTTAATTGATTTTAATTTACATGAATCCTTAAACGTGTCGTTTTTGTGTTAAAGAAAAAGTGAATGTTATTGTCTATACTTAGTGAAATTAAGTATTGGCATGCTAATATAATTTATTAAACACATTAAAAATTGGACAATTGATTTACTCTTACTTAATATCAAAACGATGCTCAATACGATGAGTGTGAGTTACTTCGAATTGACTATTTATTTTACAACTTGATGGTTAATATGATAAATAACGAAGCTTATGAAAGTTGATAAAAGTGTTTGTAATTAGTGTATAGTTAATATAATTATTAAATTATAAAACATTGTTTGCGAAAATATATGTATTAATAATAATCGGTGCATTCTGTCAATAACTACCGACCATTTTGTTTATGCACGGGAACACGCCTCGTTCCAAAAACATGGATCTATGCTTTATTTCTGATTCAACGTGTGTACATACAATCTATGAGGTATTTCCCGGTTCAAGTGATGTAGTGCAAAATAGTGATATGTACATGAAATAAAAACTTACATTACATCTTATGGAAAATATCTATTATTTTCAGCATTGAGTGTCATGACTGTTAAATTTTAATTTTGAAATGTGCAATATTAAATTTTATCATTGTTATCCACGCGATTGACAATATTTATTGGATCATCGAGACTTGAAGTATCTTCGCAGTTCAGCTGTTTTCAAATTATCAAAAAGTAACTATTGATTGATTTATTATTAATTAACATTATTAATTTTTTTTTTTATTTAACCTTTCAATTGGTTATGTTATTCCAAATTAGATTGCCAATAATGTAATCAGATTAATCTTTAAAAGTTTCATCATTTTTTCTTTAATTAACATTTTTATCTTATTCGAAATAGAAATAGATGATAAAATATTAACATGATTTTTGAATATTAATTTCATTTCTATTCAGTCTTTTTCTTTCATCATTATGATAGTGTGATTTTGCATGGTTTTTGAATTCTACAATTTTAGTTAATCAGAAAATATTTTGGTATTAACAAATATTGTTTTAAAATATAAATTCCAAATTTATTTATAAAAATGAATAAAATCATTTTCTAATCTCATTCTTGATATATTGTTAACAATGGAATAATATATTGATAATAATTTATTTATTTTTAGGTAAATCAACCATTAAAAGATGGTTAGCAATAATACCGGGAGAACTCCCAGAATTCAGGTCTTTAGACCGACCTACGAAGAATTCAAGGATTTTTCGAAATATGTTGAATACATGGAGAGTAAAGGAGCTCATAAAGCAGGTCTGGCCAAAGTTATCCCACCACCTGAATGGGTACCAAGAAAAGGTGGTTATAACATTGACTCAATTGACCTTACGATACCTGCTCCTATCTGTCAGGTTGTTACCGGCAAACAAGGGTTGTATCAACAAATAAACATTCAGAAAAAGTCAATGACTATTAAAGAATACGAGAAGTTAGCTAATTCTGAAAGATATGCTACCCCTCGACACTTTGACTATGAAGATTTAGAACGCAAATATTGGAAAAATATTACTTATGTTGCTCCGATTTATGGAGCTGACGTCTCAGGATCTCTCACTGATCCAGACGTTAAAGAATGGAATATAAATCATTTAGGAACGATTTTAGATTATGTTAATAAAGATTATGGAATATCGATAGATGGTGTAAATACTGCTTATCTTTATTTTGGAATGTGGAAAACAACTTTTGCATGGCATACTGAAGATATGGATCTATATTCGATTAATTATTTACATTTCGGAGCACCGAAAACTTGGTATGCTATTCCTCCAGAACACGGAAGGAGACTTGAAAGACTTGCTAGTGGATTTTTTCCTGGTAGTTATCAGAGTTGTCAAGCCTTTTTGCGACACAAGATGTCTTTAATTTCTCCTCAAATTCTGCGGCAATACTCAATACCTTGTAATAAGGTAAATAACTTAAACTGTTAAATACTTTTCATTTGTTTCGATTGAATTATTTTATTAAATATGTTATATTATTGTAGATTACTCAAGAAGCTGGAGAAATAATGATAACTTTTCCTTATGGTTACCATGCTGGTTTTAATCATGGTTTTAATTGTGCTGAATCAACTAATTTTGCGGCTCCACGATGGGTTGAATACGGTAAAAGAGCCACTCAATGCACTTGTAGTAAAGATATGGTTAAAATATCTATGGATACATTTGTTAAGAGATTCCAGCCAGAACGGTAAGTTAAAAAATAATTTAAGAAATACAATAATTTATTATTTGAAGTTATTTATTTTATTAATAATTAATAATAATTTTCAGTTATGATTTATGGATTCGTGGTGAAGATATTGGACCACATCCCGAAGATCCACGTCAAACAGCCGCTCCAGCACCATCTCCAATGGATTTGATGTGTAGCAACAGTGGTAAATTACCAGATAGTTACATAAATGCACCAAAAAATAAAAGGCACACAATTCATCGTAAGAAGACTCTTGTTGAATCTAATCCCGATGTTAACATGGATGAGTTAGTGAATCGTCCAGATATTCCAGCAGATGTAAAGAAAGTTCTTCAAGATCTAGAACTTGAAGAAGAACAGCCTGATGAACAACAATTAGAGGTTTTGGAAGATATTTGGTTAAAAGCAGGAGAATTAGAAGTGGAAGAAGCATCTCTTTATGATGATGGTTATAATAAGAAGAAAAATAAAAAACGTAAAAAAAAATCTTTTCATTCTCAAGATAAAGAACGAAGTGGGATTAAAACGAAAAAAGCTATACATACTAATATTAAAACCGAACCTGACTCTCAAAATGCTGATGTTAAACCTAAATATTTAGATATTATAGGTAATGCTGTACCATGTCTTGTTCTAGCCAAAATTAAAGATTTTGGTGGTATTAATGGATCAACAAGTGATAATGATGGTGCAAAATCAAATAATTCATCACAATCAAAGGAATCAATTTCAGATCTAATGGAAAATCAAGAGGCACCTACTAAAAAAAGGAAAAAACATAGTAAACATCTTATAGAACATAAGAAAAATAAAAAGCCTCACAAGAAAAAGTTAAAATGTATTAATCCAATAAGGATGTTTAACACTTCGGAGCCATTAGATGTATCTGATGCTGACGTTCAGAGAAAATTGATGGCCATGCCTAGTCTCGCTTCACAAAAATCACATGTAAAGACTGAACCAACTACCGATTTTGATATTACAACCAACGAAAGTGATCTCAATGCAATTGATGCACTGAATAATGATAATAGTAATAATATTGGTATTTACGAGCATACTTATAATGATACTAAGATTAAAACTGAACCGAGTTCTGAACTAACATTAGAAAATGAGAAACGAGCTGATTCTTTTGGAAATTCAACATTTTCTTCTACTTTTTCATCATCATCATCTTCTTCATCGTCATCATCATCTTTACTATCATCACCTCTAATTAATTTCACAACAGCAGCTACTCAAGAAAAAGCCACAGAAACAATTTACTTCAGTTCTCCTCCAGTTATAAAAACGTTAACATTAACTTCAGCAAATAAAGGTAAACCGATCATTTCCAAGCCAGCAAATTACCGTAAAAATGATATTATTAAAGAGTCTAGATTAACTCTGTTGAAGAAATCAGATATAAATGAAGTAAAAATATCCAATCCATCAGTTCGACAAGATAAAGATACTCTGAAAGCTGCTAATGGTTTATTAGTTTTACAGCAGAATTCACGAGTTATACAGGGTTCTAATGGTAATCCTGGAACAAGTATGGTGTTTGTTCCAACAAGTGCATTTACACCAAATACTTTTAATGCTAGTCCAGAACTTCAACGTACGATAGAACGATTAAAAGCAGCCAATTCTACAATAACTCCTGAAAATTCTAAACCAATTTATGGAATTCTTAATAAAAATATGGGTCAGTCAATTACTCTGAGCTATGATAAAACACCAGTAATTGAAACTAGTTCTTCAGAAAATTCTAATACAGCAGGATCTCAAATTATGACCAAACGAATCTGGCCAGTAGCTAATACAAATGCTGTTTATGTCACAAATGATTCTTCAACTGAGCTTAAAGTTCATCAATCTAATACTTTTGGAAATCCTAGTGGAATTCAAATTAATACATTGACTCCAAATTCATTATTCCTTAGTGCAACAAAATCGAATACAACATTAAACTCATCCAAACCACTTATATTACCTCAAAAGACTAGTGCAAGGATGTCTATGAATTCTTCAATGTCAATACCATCATCAAGCTCAGCTACATCGATATTAAAACTTTCTCAAAATCCTAAAAAAAAGGTCAATATTGTTATTCCTCAACCATATCAAGTGTCTTTTCAACCTCAATCTAAAAATATTTTGACTTCATCACCAATTTTATGTGCCTCGCCAGTGAAATCAAAAACAAAAAAATCTCCACGTAAAAAAATACCTATAAAATTATCTCGTAGGTCTGCTAATATGAATGATTTAATGATGAATAATAATCATAATAATAACAATAACACTATATCGATTAATTCAGAGCCAAAAAAATTCTCGATAGCAACTCAAGTTGATAATTTATCTCTACTAAGAATAAATGAAACTATACCGATAAATCATTTGAATACAGTATCAGCAAATATAAACGATCAAATTAAAGCTGAAGTTATACCAACACCAGACGCAAATGAAATGGAATCCCCTGCGCCAACTTTTGTTTTATCGACAGGCAACAGCGCAGCTGCAATAAAGTCTCAAATGTTGGACGACGTTCCAGCGAATAAATATTTAACAATGTCGTGCGCGAGTATATGTAATTCTTCAGATAATTCATCGACAGATTTAACAACAATACCTAAAACTCAGAATCTTGAAACGAAATCACCAACAAAGGCAACCAAATCAACAACAAAATCGCCCACGAAACCTCAGCCATCTAAGACTAATAAGAAACTTTGTAAAATTAAAGAGGATCTATCTCCACCTAAACTTACACCTGAAAATAACATATTATCACAAAATCAAGAAGTCATTAAAAATCAAGAATCTGCTGTGAATTATAATTCAGGAAAGATGATTCCTGGACATATTATGGACATGATATATCCAAATATTCCTGATTTGATGAATCTGCAAGCATTCAATGACTATTGGAGTACTCAATCATCACATTGTGCAATTTGTACAGCATTTGCTTCAGGGAAAAATAGTGGTAACCGACAAATGCCACCAGATTGGAAGTATTGTAAACCTAAAGTTTTACCGGAGAGTTCATCTATTTGGGTTTCGTCAATGCTTTTTGCTGCTAAATCCAAAGAACACATTACTGAACCTGAAAATGGAAAACTTCTACAGTGTAGAGACTGTCATGTAACCGTCCATGCATCTTGTTATGGCATAACAGTATTACCTAAAAATTCAGCTAATTGGGCATGTGATAAGTGTAAAGGTGGTATGATAAATGCAACTTGTTGTCTTTGTCCGATGCGTGGAGGTGCAGTCAAACGGACAAGTGATAGTCAATGGGCTCATATTCTTTGTGCACTTCTAATACCTGGTGTCACATTTAAAGACTCTGTTCATAAGGATCCAATCAACGTGTTAACCATCAAAACAGTCACGCTTAGACCACAGTGTAGTTGTTGTGAACAAAAAGGGGGTATTTGTTTGAGCTGTTATGTTTGTGGTACACCTTTTCATCCTTCGTGTGGTCTTGTCGCTGGAGCAACATTTACTATACCTGCTTACAACTCAATAGAATTTCAGGTAATTTTTTTTTCCTTTTTCTACTTGAAAATTTAGTAAAATTAAAATAATAATTATCTTGTAACTTGCAATAAATCAGCTTTAAATAATTTAATGCTTTTCGGAGCACAGATAAATACATTTCCCAGGTATATTGTGTACTCCAAATAAATAATCTTTAAATTTCTGTGGTTTACTCTGCAACAACTTGAGTTTACCCAACCCTATTATAAATCAGAGGTGAACAATTATCAGCTTTTTCAAAGAAACTTTTACTTTAGTTATAACAATTTTTGTGCTCTTCATCCACTAGATTTTATTTAGTGAACAAAAAAAAAACGAATGTTTTCACCTCTGTTTTAAATAAACATTTTTTAATGAAAATTTATTTCAAGTTTTAATTGTTAATAATCATATTATTAAATATTTATGTTATAGGTCTGTTGTCAAGGACATTTTAATAAAACTGAAAATTTTATAACTGTACGACAAGGCGAGACTGTTTGGGCTAAACATCGGAATAAACGATATTATAAAGCGACTGTGAAATCTATTGATACTCATTCTTTCTACATGGTTACATTCAGTGATAAAAGTTTTAGTGATGATTTGTACCCATCAGATATCACGGTTAGTAATTTTTTTTTAAATTAAAAATTGCAAGATTTTTAATCAATTTATTTATTTATAGCTAATTATGAATTACTTTATTACAGAATTTTGATAAAAATACACTACCTACTGTTGGTGATGCAGTAAAAGTAAAATGGACTGATGGTGAAATATATGATGGAATTTTTGAAGGAGTGAATCCTCTTGCGATGTACACTGTAAGTAGAGTTTTATACAATAAAAAAATTCAATAATTTAATTAGAAATATTCATGTAATGATATTAAAAAATGCAATAACTTATTTATTATTCATTTATATTTACAGGTCGTTTTTGAAGATGGTTCTCAACTTGTTGTGAAACGTAATCAAATATATAATTTACAAGAAGATTTGCCAAAAAGAGTACGATCACGACTGGTGAGTTTAACATTAAATTAAAACAGAAAAAACAAAAGAAAGAAAATAAAAAATAATTGAGGATTTAGATTGATTCCAAGAATGACTTACGAAGAAGACACTCCGCTATTTATTAACAAACGATCGACTTCATACTTATTTTATCTTTATTCATAATGATTTAAATTTTTTACATACTTTTAAAATTTTTATTTTCTTTTCAATTATACATCTTTCTGTTTCATACTAATTTATATTTTTCTTCTGTTTATTTTTCTATCTGTTAACTATACAAAAGTCTATCGCAACTGAAATGCGGCATCGATCTCATCTTTATGGCAATGAAAGCAGTGAATTAGCAAGTCAGCGGAATGGAAAACAAATAAAATCAAGACGACGTATAGAATAGAAAGTAAATTGATCAATTGAATGAACTGAAAAATGAACAAAAATTTTAATATTAATATATAAAATTTATTCATTTTTGTAAATATCTGTAATTTTTGCATATATAAATTTATTGAAGAATTGTGAGTTTTATCGATGTAAAATATTAAGCTTAATAGATTTAGTATCCAATTAATAGAAGTTAAATAATTCCGATTGTAAAAAAGTAAGCTTTTTTAGACATAAAAAAAAAATGAATCAAGCATTTTCTCTCAATTAGATAAAAGTATCATGTTTTAAATATTCGATTTTTATTGTATAATATTAATATAGAATTAATAATTTCGTGATATTTAAAAATATATAATAATAAGTTTTTTGTTTCAAAATTATAGTCATTATATTATAAAAAATATATTTTATTATTTTGAATATTTTTCAATTAATGACTTTATTTTGCATTGAAATAAATTAAAAAAATTTTATATTCTGACAAATGTAATTACGCACATACAGTACAATATATTTTATTGTAAAAATTTTGATTAATTAAATTTAAGCACATGACTTTATTGATGAGTTTCATATGTAATTCAGATAGTTAATAATCAGTTTACATAAAAAACATTTTATGAGTAAAATTTAACTTTATATTTATTTTATTAACTGTAATTATATAAGTGTGAGTTTGTAATTGAAACATCATGAATAATTTATTTATGAATTGGTAACTATTCAGGAAAGCATAGTTACGTGAAAATTTATTTTTTCTTGTATAATCAAATACAATATACCAAACATTTCTGTTCTACATCAAAAGTTTATAAAAAATTAATGTTGTAAAAATTAAATTATACTATACTTTTATGGAAATAAAAAAGATTAAAAATAAATATTATTATCAAAAAAACATCAAGTGTTTATATTTATAAATATTTTAATATAATATTATAAAAATGAAATATTTAAATAATAATTACGAACAAAATATATGATAGATTAATAAGAAAAAAAATTTCGGAAAGCTCTTTAGAAAATGTAAATTAATAATAATTACAATCAAAGAGTCAAATAAAATTAAAACTAATATTTGCATAATATACAGTATAATAAAATACATTTATTTTGTAATAAGTACATAATTGCAACGATCACCAGTAATTTTTAACCCATACATTTGGATCGTATTTTTGCACAGTTAATATCAATTGTTAATTATCTAATATTATAATATTCATTGATGAACAATAACTCAATTTTAAATAATTTTTATAAATTAAATAATTGAAAAATGAATTAAATTGTGTAGATTTGATAAACATTATTAACTAATTCGCAAAAAAATTCAGTAATTTGACATGCATTCAACATCATCTTTTTTACAGGAATGTTTTTTGTTTTGTATATTAAAGTTAAATGAAAAATAATAATTTAATAATAATTACTGACTATGGGCCGGCCAGATAAATGAATACATTTTCACCTAACACGAAGTGACTAGATAATTACACTGCATAAAATTGTTTACGCATGTTATACATCTGTTACTGGTACAGTTGTCAAGTTTACCACAATAGTCAGCTATATAATACCTATTAACTATATAGAAACAGGTGCATCTCAAGTACTTTTAGTTGCTATTGATTTCTTTTCATATCGTTCTATAATCTGTGTACTTTAGTCCTTATGTTTTTCCGCCTGTAAGTTGAAATGGTAACTTTTTAATCTTTTTTCATTAAGAAAAAGCAATTATGTATGAAATATTCAATAATAGTTGGAAAATATTTACAAATATCAACTTACTAATAGAGGATATAAAAATGTTTTCACTTCATCTCTTCCATTTTCAGAGACTGCTACACAAAAATATTCATTCATGTTACGAAAGCTAATATCTGTTATTACTAATTCACCATTCCACGGCTGAGAATGAGCATTTGGATATAAATCAATTACTCGTTGACCATCACGTGTCAGCCAGTCGATGTTGGATTTTAAGACATTTCTCACACCACATGGAAGTGAGACGGTACCTCCTTGTTCAGCAAACAAGAATTTTAAATTATCTACTATCACAGGACGTTGAAATTCATCACAATACTTTTTGTAAGCACCAGTTCCTGATGCTGTAATTAAATAATAAAATTAATTATCATTATAATTAATAAATAATATTGTTTAGTATTAAATCATTAATTGCCTTACAATTAACTGTAATATTTACAGATGCTGTAAGTATTTCATCATCAATTATCGAAATGCAGAAAATTTCTCCTTCATCCTTTTTGGTAGCACAATCTATTACATATTTAGATTCAGTTAATCCAATATTATCAGATGTGGATACTTTGCTGTTCATCATTTTTGGATGTCTTTGCATCATTTCTTTAAACTAAAATTATGAATAAAAAATATCAGAATAAGTTAATTATCAAAAATTTTGCAATATTCAATATTTAATTATAAATACTTACGTGGTTTAATTCTTCTTGGCGAACCCAATAAATGAGGGGAGATGGCGATCCCAAAGAACTACATTTCAATATAGTCGAATCTCTATAGAACAAAAATATTATCTTTTAACAATTCCTCATCAAATACAAATTATTATTATTTATTTAATATTTGTAAATCTTACCCAACTGAAAGCACCGTAGGTCCACCAGTTATGTTTATATTCGTCCTTTTCGACTAAAAAAAAAAAACCATTAAATTAATGCATTTTATTCGTAATATTGCAAATATATTTTATGAATTTTCTTATTAATCTTACCAGCCGATTCATTTTCATTGAATTTTCCAGATAATCATCATTATCAGTGATGTAATTCGTGTCCATTTCACCCAAGTAATCTATTCTTTTTTCATCCAACTGTTTAGCTATCACATTTAAGCGGTTTGAATCGAAATTTATAAATTTCGCAACCGAGAATTGTATGGTGATTAAGAGAACAATGAAGTTCATTAATGACTTCGAAATGTTTGGTTCCATCTAGAAAACAATACAGGAAACATTTAATTAAAAAATTGTATAAAAAAATTATCTTTAATTGAGTTATTGAAATTTTCTGCTGGATGATTATGATAAAATTATCAATATTACATAAGCGATTATATAAAATTAATGCCTGTTCATTGTGATGGGTCATTAACTTCATCACATGTAAATTTAAAAAAAAAATGACATTGATAGAAACATTTTTCATTCAAAACATTATCTGTACGGTGAATGCACTTTAATTAATGTTGACCTGTTAATTCAAATGTATCATCATTCATTCCTACTCTTAAACATAATCGCCTGTACATTACAATTTAATTTCCTTACTTTTTCTAACTCTAGCTTCAGTTTGTCAATTTTCATACACCACATAGTTTTAAATAAAATCATCTTTCATTTATTAGAGTTTAGAGTATTGTTCAATATAATAATTTAACGAACACTATCAATGACTATCATTTTTAAATGACTTAATATTTCATTCCAAGTATCAAAAGTTGAATGAATATTTCTTTTTATTCGTCAATATTCTGCTTACTTAATTGATACAATGAACTAAGTGTCCGATTGATTATCAATTTACTAGTCTCTTGTAATTAATAAGTTAATGTCGACTAGAAATAGATAGCTATTCACTGATAATGAATCAGTGATTGAAAAAAAAAATATTAAAATAAATTGGAATGTATTTGTTCAAAAAAACTTTAGATCCAGATTGAATATATTGTACCAATGTTGAGCTAGGAATGAACCAATCTTGATTTATACTAGGATAGTAGGAAGAAAATATTAAATTAAAGAGAATCCTCCTATGGAATTGCTCCAATCATTGTAGTCACGAGATTTCCATTGCTATAAGAGACGAATGAGCAGACACATGAATTCGTCATCATTCTTATCTGTCTGCTCGTGACGATTGCCTCGGAAGACTCTCTTTATAATTTATTCCAATAAATGACCATAAATTTTAATTTACATAGTTTGATATAAATATCCAATTTACATATATCATAAGATTATTACTTGCATAATAAATAATGTACTTATTAAAAATAATATCAATTAACATCGTCAATTTGGGACGAACTTTATGTCATGATCAGCTTGAATGATAGAATATAAAGAACAGGATTTGAAGTGACGTGAAAAACGGCGGAAATTCATCATTTTATCACGTCATCATTTGTATGTTTGAGTTAAATAAACTCCTCAATAAGTTGTCGTCATTCTTGAGGAGATTTTATGCTATGTAAGAGACAAGTCCTTATCTAAGCAAGAAGTACAGATCAAAAGAGATGAAATGACTGGGGAAAAAAAAAGAAGAAAGAATCACATGATGCATGCAACACTTGTTACAAATTGAATGCTGTTCTCGTCAGAGTAACATTTCACATGATATAATTTAATGATATCTATGAGCATTAAATCAACTTTTATTAAATATATTAATCACAAGTATTATTATCTTTTTACTGCTATATAAAAAGAAGAGATTTTTTTTTCATTCAAAAAATTTTATACTTGAAAATTTACCAATTACTAACCATTAAATAATGACATATTTATTGTTAATTAATTGATTAACATGAAATTATTGAAATTAATTAATTTTTTTTTTATAAAATATTAAAAAGCTCTACAACATTTATTGCAACTTAAAATGTTTAGAAATAAAATATTCAAGTGTTTACAATAGGTTAGAAACAAACTATAGCATTTTTTTTAAACGATTCAAGACGTTTAGAAGTTTTCGACAAAAAATACTATAGTTTGTTTATGGTGTTTAGTATTGTAAACATTTGAAGAGTTTTATTACTAAACACATTTGGATTTAAAGTAAAAATAATTAACTAAAAATTGAAGGTTATAAAAAATTTTTTTTTATTATAATTAAGTCCTAACTTTTGGTAATAAATTTATATTAATGAATGAAGTACATAAAAAAAGACTTTTGAAAAAAAATAATAATAATAAAAGTGCAATAAATGAGTTCTTCAGAAAACATAGTGTATTACCTGGATAAGTTTATGGTTAATTAAAATTCAATGGAGTCAACGATGACACAGTGTAAAAAATAAAAAGGAATAAAAAAAAAAATAAACGATGCTATAAAAAAGAGTGGCGAGTCTGAACGACGAGAAATCTCACGATGGGTTAAATAAAATTGCAATAAAAATTCGAATGAACCCAATGTGTTGGTGCGCATACTCGTTCGATCATCGTTCTGCTACTTGTGTGCAATCATCTTGACGCAACTTGAATCGTCCAGTCAATAATAATTTGTCTTCAGAGACACAGAATAACTGCGTGAAAACGTCCGAGGAATAAATATAACACGATTTACATTCCAAGAATAAAATAACATATATCTTATATTTCTTCAATACTTTTGCTGCATCTTTATGTTAAAACTTTTAAAATTATACCTTGTTTTGGAAAATAATTAGAAATGAAAAAAAAAATTTTTTGTATAAAGTCATCATACTATTTACCTTTTATTATCTTTATTATTGTCAGTCATGTAATTTATTTCAATTCTTCAATCAGAGATGTTATTTTATCAAATTAAATTTGTGAAAAATCACTCGCTTTAAGATGATTAATTAACTATTTAAAAATACTGAGAGAAAAATTGTATTTCAATGAATAATCATAATTCAATTTTTTTTTATTCATTCAATAAGATGATAAATGATTTAACAGAAAAAACTTTTTTTCATTTTAATTTGCATAAAATTATTCATTATTAAATTAATAAATCATTCTTAGAGTCAATTTAATAGGTAATTATAATCAATTAATGTAACATTTCATTGACGTAATTAATTATTTTATAAAAATGAGTTAATTTTTATTAACTCAATTTTGAAATAATATTAATGTTGAAAATGTTAACATAAAAAGACTGTTAAACAAAAAAAAAAAGTTCTCAATAATTGAGTATTGAGGATTAATATAATTTTTATTTTCATCAATTATATCAAGAATTCGCAATAAAGTCGTTGAAGAAAAAGTATGATGCAATATGACTCTGAATCTAGTAATATAATAAAGCACCTGGCATTTTGAAAATTTACTGCTCATCATATTCCACCTGTCACCTATTCTTCTAATATCCCTGCTATTCTATTAATGACTAACAATTGTAAAGATAATTGATAACCAGTATCTAGATATTAATATATTTCAATAAAACTAATCTAAATAATTTTGAAACTAAGTTGGCCATCAATATGATAAAGTTAAAATAATAAACACAATAATGTATTTATTTAATTGAGAAAAAATACTTACTTTGTACTAAAAATTGAAGAATAAAATAAACTAAATCGATAATAATACTCAAGTGAACACAAGAAATTAAAAAGTAATAAATAAATGAGTCAATGAATAAATTCTGATTGACGTGCTCTTCAACACGATCCTACTAGTTGCATGATCCTAAGTAAACTGGGCAAACAATCTAGTTTAAACACGTGGGTTGACTTCAACTGACTTACCGACTTGAGATAGTGGTAAAACGTGCACGCACGTGCGTTTATGAGATATATTAATGGAGGCTGAAAGATTACTTTTCTTTCTTCAGAACTTTATGTTATCATTTATCAATCATTTTAAAGGGTCGTTGATTATCAAAATTGATATATTGAATATTTAAAATAATTTTAATGTTTAAATATTTTAATAACTAATAAAGAAAATGACTCTATCATAATTACTCATGTGTTCAATTTGTGCATTGATATACGTTGAATAAGCATAGGTATCTACATGATTATCTTTACAGCTTCAAACTGGTTTGATCAACCGAAGAACCAGTCTCCCTTTGTCTCGAATTTATGACAATTTATAAACCAATTAATTAATTGATATTTTAATTAGTTTATCATCTCTATTATATACTTTACTTCTAATTCATATTTTATTAAAATTTATATGACAACTTCTTCTTTTTTTTTTTTTTATTTTCTATCAAACAGTGATGATATTAATTTATTTCTTTTTTTAGATTACAAATTTTAATTATAAAAAATTAATTTTAAATATTTATAATAAATGTCAAACTGAATTTCAAAGTTTATTACATAGTATAAAATTATTTATTTCAATTAATCTTCATTTATTAAATGGTAGAAAATGTAATTAATTTTAATAAAATAATTTACTTTTTGAATATTAAAATAAAAATTTTGTTTGATTGATTATAGAAATAAATTTAAACTAAAAATTGATGATGAAATAAAATGAAAAGTTGTAAAGTATTAATTGAATAGAATCTAGCATCAATTACTAAGATCACTATTAAAGAGATTTTATGTTAAATAATAAATGATTAATATAAAGGTAGGTCAAGGTGGTGCATGACAAATTTTCCAAGTTACCATATTTTGTAAGAGTAATTTTTCTAGTTTACAACTTTTAATCTCCGAAGAAAAGTAATTAGGACAATTAATTAACTTGACAGAAAAAAATGTTTCAAAATGAAAAAAAAAACGGATGATTTTTTAAATGGACTTACCTTGTTCACTGACTAATAATATCCTTCGAAAGATAGAATAAGTATAAACCAGTTATCTTGATAAAAGGTTTTATGTACTGTAAAGAATCTCTTGCTTTTAACCCTTTGCTCAATGAAACTTTTTTAACAACCGATGAGTTCAATAAAACGTCGATGAAAGAATTAGTAACACTCAGCCTTTCATGCTCATATTTATACTCAGAAATGCAACAATCGTCACATCGCTTTTGCGTTGGATTGGTCCGTTCGTACGGAGTGGCGGGGAATGTGAATACAGTAGAATCTTTTTAACCAATAGCAGTATGTAGCCCACACCCGTTATTATTATCATCATCACGTCTTGCGTGTAAAAACGTCATCACCCATCCACACGTACCATCTTCGTTTGATTTTTCGCACCCTCATCACTTGGTCCAGCACACATCACACCACAGTGACTCTATCAGGGGTTTCAAACATTAATCCATCATTTTCACGCCTTTCAGACTTTCCCTTGACCTTCCTTCTCTCAAGATATCACCCATTTACTTAGCTTATCATTATGTCACGGTACTTTTTCACCGCCGAAAGATTTTCCCATTGATTTATTCTTAATTTAATTAATTATTTATCATCTCGAAGCTTGGATATTAAATGAATTTACATCAAATAATAATAAAAATAAGGAAAGTGATAATCAATTTTCAAAATGATTTTTTCCGAATACTAAGAATCCTATGGTGTTACTCATTTTTTTCATTAATTGACTTTTATTTAATTGAAGGAAGATCGAACAAAAAAATTGACCTTAGACTTTATTTTTACCAGGAACCTTTAATTACCACAATTACCGCTACTACTGTTATTATTATTATTATTTATTATATTGATGAAATATTTGTCTTTACTTTATTTCTCTTTTGTAATTAATTTTTTTATCTTTCAATTCATTTATAGTTTAATTAATAAATATATTAATATGATTTTTTATTGAGACAAATTAATTTTGATATTTAAAGAAGGTAATTGTTTTATTGAAGATATGAATGAAAATGATATATTTTCTGTCGATAGAATTTATCTGTAAAGTATAATAATGTATAGAGATCAAGTAGATTTCCAATTGTGAATACTTGATTTGTTAAAACGCATAACATTTTATTGATGTGATACGAAAACGATGTGTTTCATGGACGGTAGTGCAAGAGGCTTGGAACAAGATTTCCGTGAACGTAACATGCGATTGACCCCGAGGATTACTAATCGTTCTCATTTTAGTTTCTGTCAATACAAAAGAGTTTAAATATTTTCAGGATCATTCTATTATAATACAATATTAATAATTCATCAATTATAAATCAATTAATTATAATTAAATATTTTAAAATTATTCTTATTTCTTCTCATCTTTAAAAAAAAAAAAAAATTATTCTATTAATTTAAATGCAAAACAAAAAAAAACGATAATTAAAATATTTTTAAAAATATTTATTTAATTGTGAATTTTTTAATATATTTTTTATGAATAAAAATATATTCTGTATTTGGAGTAATTAATATTAACTGATGAATATTTTAAAATTATTTTATTTTTTTTTTTTTTTGTTTAAAAAAGACACCATCCCATTGTGTCCTTTATGGTATTGTAATTGAAAAAAAGTATGTACTTGTTTTACGTAATGTGTAGATTTCAAGACATCTATGTGGCCGAGATATCTGTAGATATATAGGAGGTATGTAAAATAATTTTAATTTTTTTCATTGCTCTTAAATGTGACTCCACTTGATTTGCTTATCAATCGGCAATTACAAATTACCGTTATTTCTGGCAACGTGAGGTTTCGAATTGACAGATTTAATAAATTTAACAGCTAAGTTTTGAAATAGAGTGTTCCCAAGTTTTAGAATATTTTGTGATCAAACAAATTGGTACGCAATCTCTTCTGCATGTTTTAATTTACTTATTATAAATAGTGGATGGTCGTTATGATATTTTTACTTATGTGAACAGCTGAAATCTAATATCACATTGATTTAGTTTAAACTAATTTAAGAGTATTGAAATAACTAGATTTATTATCATTTAGTGATTTTTGATTTAACGATTAAGTATTTGAGCTTTTTTATAGAAAAAAAAATATTTTTAACTATAAGCTGTTTAATATAAATTTCATACATCATAATAAATCTAATTATTTTAATTTTTTGCTGAATAAATAGAGAACATTTGTTTTGCTAAAAATTATTCTTCTACTTCTACTATCAGCCTCATTTTACTTCATTTTGCTTCACTCCATCATCGGCTAATGCAAACATTTTTAAAGTCTCGAGATATACTATTAAATGCCCTGTCAATGATTCTTACTATTCCTTTATATTTATTTATTGTCAATAAAGTGGAATCATTCATTTAGATAAAACTAATTTACAAAAAATAAATAATTATTAATTGATTTAAGTGCTGGTAATGAAAACACTCTCATAATTTTAAAATTTTACTTCAAAGTGAGTATTTGTTTGTTTTGAATGAATATTTAGTTAATATAGAGTTATAATATGTTTACTTAATTTATGTAATTTCTCGTTTGATTTACTCTATTTTTGGTATTACAAAGAACATATCATTAAAAATATGAATATCGAAACCCACGAAATTAATATTATCAATCTAATTTTAATTTCAATAATAAATCGTATATAATAAGTGTTTATAATTAACTATAATTAAAATATACTTTAAAAGTGTGGATATAAAAATAAAAAAAAATTAGTCTTGGTATGAATAAATAAATTCTATGTAATAAATATTATAATGCTTTGATATTTTTGTCAGTAATTTTGATCATAAAATTATTTAGTCTATGAATTAATATATTACTTATTTAAATAAAAAAAAAAAACCATTAAATAAATTTTATGAGATTTTATTATTTCGTAAAAATTTAAAGGAAATTAAAACATGACAGTGAATTCAATTATTCAATGCCCATTCAGTTGGACTTATTTTGTCTTTCATAATTTCATCATTATAAGAATGTTTAATGATATTAATTAACAACTTTTTAAACAATTTAAATTAAGAATATTTTTATCATTAACTTTTTTCACTTTGGAAATCAAAAATATTAATTAATCAAAGATTATCTTTTTTTTGTGGATTCTGATAAAAATCATATCAGTGATAAACAATCTAGTTTTTATTTATGAAAAATTGAACAAATGCATCATTAATTAATTTTCTTTACATATATTTTATTATTGTTAGATACCTTAACTTAGATTAGGCACGTTGCTTAACTTGAATTTTTAATGATTAATAATAACTATATATATTTATAATTTATTTATAATTAAGTAGAATTTTTAAAAGATAATCCTGTCAATTTTCTTGTGTTCATCATAAAGTGATAAATCATAAATGAATTAAAGTTGTCATTCAAATCATTTAAATTCAATGAAAAAAAAAGAAGAAGAAGAAGAAGAAGAAGGTATAATAAAAAATTAGAATAGAATTTTAGAATATAGTCGAAATATCAGCATCATTCAATAAATAAACTCCACTTGTTGATTCGCTTTGACAAAAGTTCCCTTTTTTTTTATTTTATCAAATAAAAAATGAAAAATTGAATTTCAGCATGACATATGATTTAAATATTAAATTTACATAGCATTTTGAGGGCAGTCAATTTAATATAAACATAAATATTTATCAGAATGCATGTAAATCAATTTAAATAATCGACTGCAATACAATAATCAATCATATATAAAATGACAATTAAAATGATCAAAAATAAAATCACAATAAAGATGAGAATTAGAATGAAATTTTGATGAATATGAATAGAAATTAGGTAAAGGTGTAATTAAATGACAAATTTGCATAACGATTGTGATGAGTAACAAAATGGATGAAAATTTTTTTAGTATGACTGGTAGTGAAAAGAATGCCCAATAGAT